TTGATAAAGCATTTGCTAATTCCGAAAGAGTCAGGCCATTTTACCAACATTGTTTTTAAAAATGACTTGTTTATGCCTTCATTGTATTCTTATTTATGCCTTCATTGTCTTCTTATTTTTTTAAAACGTTAACTGTACCAACACAAGTTATACTCGTATAACTTGCAATGGGTGACTTTCAAATTCACACGTTATAATTTAATTTCTACCATTAAGTGAAAAAATTCTAAATAGACATTTCGTACCAGAAAGAATGGCACTTAATTTATCACAAAAATTTAATATAACTGTCAAATGAAGTGATTTTCTACCATTAAGTGAAAAAATAAGACGTTTCGAACTCAAAAAATGGCACTTAGACCTAATGAACTTCGGAAATTAAATATAACTGTCAAATAAATTGATATGTATTTTGACATGGGTAACACAGATTTTACGATGTGATTTTTTTTATCCAAACAAATAACTTGTTACACCCGTTATAAAAATATTTTCTGGTGTCAAATTTAAACCAGACCTTGGAGAAAAAAAATTTAATACGTATTTTAAATCGAATTAATTTATAAAATAACTGATTTTTATGATAAAAAATTATTGTTATAACAGCATAGAAATGCATATGAAAACAAGGATCACTGATATATTTCCGCAAACGCAGATTAAAGCTTCGACATTTCTGTTTCTGCATTTTGCTCGAAAATTGTATCTTTTAAATAACTTTTCTTACATAAAAATAATTATTGTTTTAACCTAGAAATTAAGGCACGGATCACTGAAATATTTCCCCAATTTCAAACAGAGTATAAAAGCTTCAACATCTCTAATAGAAGAAATTTTCTCGTAATATATCATCGAAAATTGCAAATTTAAACAGAGCTTTTCTATAATTGAAAGTGCATTCCAGATTGACAATAGGTAAATTATAGTGAAATTTGAATTTATTACATTCACTTTCTTCCACATGATCGATTTTCCACATGATTAATTTCTGTTACGCGCGGTAATTCCCCATTGATGTCGTCAAGAATCAAACCAGCATTTTATAGGGCGTTAACCGACAAATTAAAAAAGATGTTTACGGAAAGAAAAGCGTCCGTAGAAGTTGATAATGGACGAGGAAGGAAGTAAATCATCAGATGAAGCACCGTCTTTAAATTAAATGACGTTAAAAAAAAAAGACGGACAGGAGACCATTTGGGAATTCAATGCTCAACAAGAAGGGTTGGCATGTTGAAGTGGTTCCTTTCGTCGTCCGGAGATTTTGAAGAATGTTCATCTGAACGGAATCATTCAAAAATATATATAACTGTTCTACGTACATTTATCAATAAATATTCTGTATCAGAAAAAAAATAGTGTTTATATGCTTCAGAATCGGTATCGGAATCGGTCCTACCGTGCCTAAAGGTCACGGCAAACTTCCCCGCCAAGAAGTTTGCGCAAGACCTTCTTTTTTTTTTTTTTTTTTTTTTTTTTTTGATTTTTTTATTTCCTGTTTCCTTTTTTATCTTTTGTCACCTTCTATTGATTTTCACTTTATTTTGACGCCTAGATTGTATACGCGAGTATTAAGCGGAACCTACATGTATATATATCGGCCAAGGTTTGAAAATTATGTTAACCTGAAAAATGCATGCTTTCATGAAACCCGTATGCCTGTTGTGTATCTGAGGATTTATCAAAGCAGAGTTTTGTAATTTTAACAACTGATAGAATACAACGTCCTCTCACGATTTATTCCAAATATATGTTATCATATCCTCCCTCGAGCTTGCACCCAGCGCGGGGGGTTAGTATCTCCATTTTTGTCCATTATTACGCATTTTTACGCTACTTAAATCTGTAGAAGAATATACAGTTTAGCTAGATGTCAGTAAGTTAGATCACAGGGAACCTCCTGTATAAGTGTCTTTGGTGTCACAGACATTGTGCTCAGTGTAAATTAAAGAGGAATACTTTGAAAAATTGTAATAAGTCGGTTTGTTATTACGTTTTCTTTCACAAACGTGGGATGCGCAGTATTGACACTGTAAGAATTTTCAAACGACAAGCAGGCGTCTTAAAATTGTTCCTTTAAAAAAAAAAAATGAGGGCGGGCGAACACGGCGAGCAAAATGCTGATTGTGCGACATATAAAAAAGTGAAAAATCAAATCTCAACTATAACAAAATTTACTTTGATATTTCACTTAACGCTTATACTGTATGTAAAATCTTCACATATTGCAACAATCTCGCAAAGATTAAAATCATTCGTCTATGAAATTAGAGAATACATACCCAAAGAGGCAAAACTGATCAATTCTTTATATGAAAACACATTTTTTCCTTATCAATGCATGGGTCTTCGCTCAATTTTTGGAATGATTATGCTCAAAGTATGCGTAAAAATATATGTATTACTTATTCTTCGGTCAACAAAAAGATGGAGCAAAGACCCACTATACCTTAAAAATACACTTTTATGACACGGCATTCGTATCTTTTCAAGAAATATTTGAAGTCCATTTAGTCAAGGGTCAATCCGTAGAACACAGTGGTAAGCGTGTTAATATCGTAGGGAAAATTGATACTCAGGGTTTTGGGCTTCGAACCCTCAAGAATACCAGATTTATTTTTTTTTTTCAAATCAAAAAATGATTTTAGTAGGAAAAAATTCTGCAGAAAACTTTTGTTTGTCATGATTTCATACCGAATTTAACTCATTGTACTAAATTTACAAATTGAATGACTTTTGTGAATTTGAATCTCTAAGCATTTTGCACGCCTTTGTTCACCCATCTCCTTTGATATTCTTAAATAAACCTTGTTCTATTATGCAGTTGCTTTATATTCTGAACAATGTTGTGATGCCATTTCTTCGTTCGTGCAGTCTTTACCTTTGGCAGTCCGATATTAGTGAGCATCTGACGTAAGTTAATTATCAGATTGTCTCAGTACTGATATCCTTCAAAATTGGTCTGTTATTGAACAAAAGGAATAAAAACATGATTATTTAGAACAAAACAAAATTTAATTCTATATGTAATTCTATATGTACAATGATAATTTCAAAACAGAATATTATGTATTGATCATACAGAAAAATTAAAAGTATAGAAAGTCATAAGTAAATACCTTCATCATCTACCTTATTTTCTTTGTTTGTTCAATTCAAATCAAAGTTCACATCTGCATTTTCCATTCCACTTCCAAATTACTATTCACTTGATTGTCTGTATCGTAATCCTATGCATTGCTCTATCCATGAAATTTTGTTCCCCACTCTTCATTACAAACAATCAAATTACTTGAAATACATACTACTATGTTGCTAGCGCTGATTAAAAAAATACTGAGTAGTTTTCATTCAAGCCTGCCTTCTTTTGGTCCAGTATCGGACTGTCCCAGGTAAATAAACAAATGAAATTTAAAAGGCAATGTTTTAAGTACAATATATGGCTCATACAGAACATATTTCCATTACTGACTTCCGTAAAACATGCAATAGATTCAATAAATTTTGAACTACCCTAGTAATCATGAAGTCTTTTTTTTCTGAAATCCAAAAAATATTATATGCTTACAGGTCATCATTAAATTACTTTTGACTACTTTAAGAAAAGTACGAAGGGTGATCAAAAAGTTCGCGAAATAATTGAATAACTTCCTTAAAAGAAATAAAATGAGGTTTCAGTGCTTACAATTTTTTAAAGTGGTCCTCTCCGATTTTAATGCACATCTGCCATTGTTCAGCACATGTGCCAATCACGTGATCAAGGCGGTCATCACGTGACATGCTCCGGAGTAGTCTGTTCACAGAAGCTAAAAGATTTTTCCGAGTTTTATATTTCTTACCATGCAAGTTATTTTTTATAACAAGAACAGTCCACCTGTCAGAAATGGCCAAATCTCGGCAATAGGACATGTGGATAAGGATATCCCTTCCAAGAATTAGCATGGTGACCATCACAACCCGAGTCCTCTGTCTCGGGAGAGTCATTTATCCAATTGAATGTGGATAAAGTATGGGCGCCTTCTTTTTATCATATCTCGTATGTTTAAAGTCTAAAGTAAACGATATTTTAGGGCTTTAATGATTATATTATTGTTAAGATATTTATGTATTTTTCTAATCGTAAGTTGGCGAGGTTTCATAACAAATTACTCAACTAAGGACACATCTTTTCCCCCGGCTTGCTTTCGCTGGGCAATAGAACAAACATTTTTTTAACCATATCCCCGCCTTCACTAAAACGATCAATCCAATTAATGATTGAACCTCTATTAAGTCTTTTGTCTTCATAAACCTTGTACAAATTATATTATTCTACTGCAAAGGAATTTCCAAGATATACGTTAAACTTTACAGACGTTCGTTTCTCGAGTACGACTGAGTCAACCATATTTTGTCACAAGTCACCTACATATTGACGTTATTTTCACTTTGTGACGTCACAAACACGGAGCAAAACATTATATAACATCTGTTATTTATAGAACACATGTATAACTATATGTGTGCCAAATTTCATTCTGATCTGACTTGTGGTTTTGTAAATATGGAGATAGTTCGCGAACTTTTTGATCACCCCTCGTAATCCATAACAATCGATTATGATTAGTTATTTCAATCAGTCCATTTCTTGTGATATTGAATTATGCAAGAAACCTACTATTAAGTTATGGTTTTAAGGAAATTAAAAACTCATCCAGGTTCAATATTACTTAACATTATTTGGTTTGTATGAGGAAATATATCATGAAGTCCCCACTTCCTACAAGCTGTTATTAATAAAAAGTAATAAAAATCATATGTACATTATATTAAAAAATGACATAGAAAAATTCTAAAAATCTTATAAACACAATAAAACAATTAACATAATAAAACATTTTAGACTTTCATGAATGAGCTTTGCATAATTTGTGCACCATACAATCATGTTATTTATAAAGACCTGTTAGCAAATCAACATCTGTTGCATCGTTAAATCGTTAGCTGAGAGACTATTAGGTAACTTACGAAGTTACAATAAACCTCTTCAGAGAGACCAAACACTCTAAAATTTTTCCACGAAACTTTGAGTCGAAAAAACCGTAAATAAACGGATTTACCACGAAGTTGAGAATAAACATCCCTCTTATGATATTGAATACTTGGGCCTCTTGAAAGGATAAGTGATTCCAGAATGTTTTGTCTTGAGTTTCTAGAATCATAAATATCCAAGGTGGGAAGAAACACAGAATGCTGACAAGAGATATTACCATGAACATCAAGGAATATTGTTTACCAGTGAGACCTTTAGATCTTTTGGTTTTTGGAGGACATTTTGACTTTTTTTTGCTTTCCATGTTTTCGATTGTTTTAGTTTCAGTGATAGTGTCGAAGGTTTCTGTCTCTTCTGTACTTTTCTCAACTTTACTTGACGGGATAGATTTCAATGCAACTGAATGAGTGCTTTTCTTTGGGTATTTCATTTTTTTAACCAACGTATACCCAACCAAAGCGTAGAGAACAGACATGCAAATCACGGAGGATGCCTCAGCTGTAATTATTATACCCTGATAGATTTCTCGAAATGTGTCGGTATTTGGCACTGGACCACAGCGAAAACCAGTTATATTCTTCGTTGGGTGATAGACTTCTACGATTCCATATAGAAATGTAATTGGCAAAGCGAAGCCGCATGCAAGCGAAATTATAAGTGAAGCGGCGATACGTTTAAATGACAAATTCATCTGAAATCCAAATGTGCGACATATCTTCTGGTATCTTTGTATTGCTATCACTAGTAACATGAAGGTGGATGAGACAATGGATGCACAAGCCGACATATGTAGAGATTTGCACGTAAAGTTACCCGGATATTTGTATGGTTCATTGTTTTCAATCAAAATTTCTGAGGTTGAAACGACACATCCAACAAAATCCACACCAGCAAGAAAAGGTATGAAGTATCTGTCATCCTGCTTTGAATGCATCTTGGTAGAATAAATAATCAAAACAGTTAGGTTCCCGACAACACCAAAAAGGAGATAAATTGATAGAATAACAGTGCTTGCGGTGTATCGTTTGATATACTCTTCGTTCCAATCATCTAGATCAAACGTCTTGTTCTCCATCGTATGATGTTAATGATGTGGGGAATAACTGATGCAGAAGCCTCTCTATTCTTTTCTGAGCAGATTTTCTTCGTACTGTAATCTTTATCCGTCAGTAGCTTTAATGTTTATCTTGAAAAGAGAATTTAGGAACACGGATGTTCGATTGATACTTACATGTACTTTTCAAGTTTCAAGTTTCACAAAGGAAGTAAATATTTCCATTTTTCCCGGAAGAATAAACATGATTTTGTATCAACAATAATAAGTTTCTTTTTTAAAATAATTATATGAATGATATCCAGATACGTACCTGGATTGATAACATATACATTTTAATAATTAGAGCATAACTCTCTCTCTCTCTCTCTCTCTCTCTCTCTGATTTCAAGATTTTTTTTTCAAAACTAAGTTTTAAAAGATGTATGCACATCCATAAAAAAATAATACATTTATACAAAAGTGCATCTTTACATGTACTTGCAAAATATTCCCCTTTTATAGAGAAATTCACAAAATGGAAAGATTATCATTAATAACATGTATAGGATATACATATTTAAAATATCAGTCTCTAAAATGTTGCGCCGTTTTCGATATAACTATAGTTAGAAACAAGTAGTTCCTAATATGGGAATTATATGAGCTGAATCGCCTATATGTTGATGACAGTGCTGAGAACAATGTCGAACACCACATTTAAAACTGTAATGAAACGGACATCGTTGCCGTGCTATTTTGACAATGTACCATTTTTTTAAAAATGTAGAATCAGGAAATTAAGACAGAAAATAGAATTTTAAACAAACCTTGAAATTTGTGAAAATGAACTTATATTGAAATCTGAAAATAACAAACAGTAATCAAGCTCAAATGTTCATTGAAACAATGCAAATTTTGAGAAGAGGAAACACAGACCTCTAAAGACATCAGAGGTGGGATCAGTTGCCATGGAGGAGTAAGCATTCCCTGTCGACTGGTCACACCCTCCTTGACATGATCGAGCAAACGGAAAAATTCGTAGACAATTCAGTGTGAAACTAATAGCCTTAAATTTGTATGGAAAACGTCAGTCAACATGCGACTTAATGTTAGAATGTATTTGCTGAAAAGTTCATTGTATCGACCATAGAATTGTCAATAACTTGCCTTGTTTAAGAAATTGTAATTTATTTTAATTTAAGAAACCGTAGTGCATGCCCTTGTGTTTAGAATCAACGGGGAGACATAAAATCCATATCCAGGTGATAGTGGTATATTGCTGCATGAATAAGGGGAGTTGAAGAAAGTCGAAGTCATCAAGTTCATCATTAGATTTTGTTCTCGGGTTACCATTGACGTCTTTTTCTAGTGATACATCCAAATATGAATCAGACTCTGTGGTATCTTTTATTCTGAGTTCAAAGGGATATATCGAATCAACGTAGGAATGAAAATGAATATTGTTAATTTATAAAACGCCGTCAATATATCTAAATGTTGAACTTAAGGCCACAGCCAGAGACTTCTTTTCGTGTACAAGTTTCTGAATAAATTATGCTTCAAATGAATACAAAAAATGGTCTGTTAATAGCAAGGCGCAATTAGTACTCATGGGAATTCCGACAGATTGTTGGAAGGCTTGATCTCCAAAAAAATACATAGATGTTTTCAAACAGAAACCCATACATCTTTTTAACATCAACTTCGGAGTGCTCGCTGAAAATTTGATCTTTTACATACAAACGACTTATTCCTATGTGATTATTTAGTAAATATAAGCTAGTAACAAGACTGTGTGTATTTTTCAAAGCTTATTAAGGTCTTCCGCTCCAGCGGGAGACCTTCTACTGATTCTGATGGTTAAGATTATTCTTATTATTAAGGTCTTCCGCTCCAGGCGATGGTTAAGATTATTAAGGTCTTCCGTTCCAACGGCAGACCTTCTACTGATTCTGATGGTTAAGATTATTATTAAGGTCTTCCGTCACAACGGAAGACCTTCTACTGATTCTGATGGTTAAGATTATTATTCTTTTTTTTTTCTTCTCCTTTCTAGACGCCAACTTTGAGGCCTCATATCTCGCTCATTTCTCAACGGATTTTGCTCAAATTTGCAGGGTTTATAGACGTTACAAAACTCTATCAGAATGCTGTCAAACATGTCAAAAATCCTCTTCCGCTTTTGAGTTATCTCCCTTTAAATGAAAATTTAGGACTCTTCATTTCCGGATAAAGGTTCCGAGACTACAAAAGCTGGAGTAGAAATTCTACCGAATTTAAATAATAGAAGCATTGAAGTTGTGCACATCTATTTTTGTTTTTTGATTTCTGTGTTCAAAATGGCGCTAGATAGGGGTCAAAAATTAGAACGCCTAAAAGCGCGAAAATTTACACATATTTTCCTATGTATCTTTTAAACTAAAAATATTTTGTTAAGACATGTTGAATAAAAGTTGTGCACAATTTTAAGGTCTTTCATTTGGCACCTCCAAAAAGGGACTGGTCCCTAAAATTAGGGATCTAGGGTCCTTGAAAGTTTTCGTTTTATAACTCAAAAACGGTAAATATTTCGATATAGCTGTCGCTAAAAAAGTTGTTCTTTAACATATTATTGATCTCGTGAACTTGTTATTTTGTTCGAGTCTTTTTTAATAAATGAGCTAGAAGCTTGACCCATATACAGGTAACTAGTTTCATTAGACAAGTGAAGGTGAAATCTTTATGCGCATAACTGAAATAAACTTGCTATAAATGATAAACCTATCCAAAATAAATACTAATACTACTTTAAAATAAGTTTTTACGTGTTCTGTGGTTTCATTCCAAATTATTGAGTCACACATTTTCAATACGTCTCGGGGTTTGTTTTTGTTTATAATTACGTAACCGGCCATCCCCCGATCACGCGTGACCTAGATCCAGTGATCAGTGGCCATACACTAAACAGGCATTGCCGTTCTAAATCTATTTTGCAAACTCAACTATGTACGGATAATTGTTTTTTTTAGTCAAATCGGATCTTTCAAATTATTTCATCTTATCTATGTTGGTCATGTTGGTGATATACTTATTAAATTATTGTGGCTGAAATGACAAGAGATCCATTGCGTGTGAACCAGCGACCTGCGTTCGTAAACAAAACATCTTTTCGTCGTTTAATGTTGAAACATACACTATATTAAATTTAAAAAAAAAGTTAGCAAAAAATAAATCAGTCTTTAACTGCATTTAACTGCGTTTCACATATACCCGGGTTTTGTGTTTGTTTACAATTATGTAACCTAATTATGTAGCCGAGGAAGCAGCTATTAGTGCTCATACACAAAACACTGTCGTTCTATATTCATTTTGCTGACACAATGATTTACGGAAAATTATTTTTTAAATCATACCGGATCATTCAATTAAATCATTTATTCTTATCTTAATTTGATTTAATTTAAATCCAAAACATTTTATTAAGGACGTATAAAGGTACTCGATTTCATGAATCCTAATCTTTAAACTGCATACATGTATTTAATAAACGATTTATTTCTCAATAATGTGTTATTATGTGTTTAATTTCGGAGATTCATTGCGTGTGGTTAATTTTGCAGATAATTCTAACTTGACACACAAGGTTTGTAGACAAAGAATTCAAAAGAGATATATTTTGAAAACAATAAGATGCATTGCTAAACACTTTTACATTATTTTCTTTTTAAAATGGCTATCTTTATGATTACACCAACTTTTAACATGCTATGTGAAAAACTCTGTCGACTATAGTTTTGTAACTCCAGCATATGACAAGTACATGTGCTTTTTATTAAACACCCAATTTTCCATTAACGCCCACAAAATCTACCTAGCTTAAGATCGATAACATACCGCCCGACAATCATACAAAAATAAAACAATAGCTGCTGATTTGATTGACAGGCCAGCAACCTGCGCTACCTGATACTGTAGTCTGAGTTTGCATGTTTTGAAAGCAATTACACGTACCTGGTCACGCGTCAAACGCTTTCATGTACCGCTTGAAAAGTCGCTTTGTATACACTCTGGTAAAAACTTGTATCTTTATTGGTAATTATGTTTCACAAAATAATTGAGAGAAGAGAATTAAACTTTGAGTTCATTATTTTTATTTTCACTGCTGTTTTGTACATTGTACTTGTACGCGATATGTCGTCCAAGATAACTGTACAGCTTTCCGAAGAAAAGAAAAAAAACTGGCGGCTATTCGAGCCCCTTTTTGCCTTCAATGTCCTCTCCAAAACACACCTGTTTACAGAGAAGAGATCATAATATTCAATAAAATATTTCATATTATATGTAATCTGATTTTGTATGTATAAGTATCTGAAAGGCTATATTGTGCTGAATTTTTTAAAATACATGTTTTATGTAATACATATTTTTTAGCATACGATAAAATATCGCCAACACTATAAGCTTAATTATTTCTAATGTCCAGAACTGTGTAACGTAAATGCCATGCATTTAAGAAGTATGTTAACTTTTTTTAATTTAATTACACTTGCACGCGCGGTTCAAAAAAAAATGTACAAGGAGTACATATACATGGACTTGAATATAACAAACTTATTAGCACATCTAATGATGAAAATGAAAATAATTGATAATACACTTTTACAACTTTATTTCAATGATAAGTTATTCTTAAACTTTACTTCAAATGTCAGAAAGGCCAGCACAGCCAAACGACTGTTAATTGTCTCTGTTTTAATTACAATGTCAATCACAGTAACTTTTTTCTTTAGATCCCTTCATTTCTTATTTGTACATAGTTACATGAAATCCATGCACGGCGCTACACCTGTCAATCAAAATTGTAAACGTCTGGTGCCACGGAAGCATTTCCCCTGTGGTGTAAAATATTCTTTAGGTCAATTCTAATTTTACGCTTTTATAGATACAGTGTAATATTTCGAAACAACGTTTTAATTAAGGCTGAAGATGCATGCTGTGAATTTATCAAACCTGCAGTCCTAACTGACGATCCGTTCTTACATGTATATTATAATTAATCA